AGACAGAATTGCTCAAACAGTTCAGCATGTTCAGATTGACAAATAGTTATCTTATAAAAGTTTTATATTTACCCTAATTTCAATATGAAAAATGGGTATTTTTTCTTCTGCGACCCTTTTTCCCCTTTGCCCTTACTTTGTATTGAGTGGTAAGGAGGAGTCGCTGGAATTGGTTAGTATTTCAAGCTTAATGATATATAATATGGCCGAGAATTTTAGAAAAACAAATATATGATAATTATATATATAATAATAATGATTAGGTTGTTGTTTATAACATAAGTATCTGAAACTTATCAGATTTCTAATTTTTCAAAGATGCATTTAAAAGCAATGTTATCAAATAATGCATCAGATGTTTGTTAATTTGAAATCTATTTATCTTTATGAAAATACATAATCATGATAGCTTAAGTTCTACTTTTAGTTCAAAAATTATATGAGAGGGTATATATTTATATATATTCAAAAGGTATACCAAGGGTATGTGAACTTGATGGAGCAGCTGCTCATTCATACCTCAAAAAGGATTAAAGACCACTACCCCTCCCCCCCCCCCCATACACACACACAAAAACAACCAACCCACCCTGCACACACCCCTACAGAGTTAGAAAGTAGTTAAAGTTTAACTTGTGACAGTAAGAACAACTGGAAAGGTAAATGCAGGGGCGGAGCCAGTCATTTTTAAAAGGGGAGGGGGGGGGGGGGGGGGTTCCAACCATATGTTCCCATTGAAAAGCATTGATCTTCAAAAAAAGGGGGGTTCCAACCCCCGGAACCCTCCGGGATCCGCCACTGAAATGCTCACATTAATCTGTATCCCGTGTGATAAATGTCTCCTTTACACTTTATATTTGGAGGTGCTCCTCAGAAAGGAGGCTTACATATAGCACTCGTAAATAGCTATGTCCTTGTTTTACCATTGAAAACACCAAAGTCTGTTTGATATAACAAACTTAGGCTATTTGCACGTTTACACATGATACTTTTAAATAATCATGCACAGTTTCGATGAATTCTAATGGAAATTGTAAGAGATATTTTGGTACTATTTAAAATTGGAGAAATTGATAAATTCTTGTTTTACAATGGGAAATCCCTAATATTAACTTTATCCTCTGTGCATAGTACTTAATTACCCTTCCAAATTTATTAAATTCTCATGGAAACTCTTTTAGATTTGTTGTTATCAAACTTCTCCATTAGTAAAAATTGGTTTTTTTCCTGAATCATAACATTTACAGTCCGTTTCCATGGTAAACTGGTCATAAGAAGTAGATTAATTCTCTTATATTGTCGGTGACCCCAAAATTTTATTCCAATTCATAAAAATAAAGACATCTGGCTTTTCAGTCATAAAACATGAGGGGAACTTCTGTCATTTTTTTTTCTGTGAATATTCAACCAAAGAAGTTTTTTGCCCATTTTCCCTATTTATTCATTGAGAAATTAGCCTATGTGCAACTATTTTTCAGTTGGTGAAAAATCACTTGGATGGCCGGTGACCTCAAAATATTATTGTGTTTTTTAAATACCCATGTAATAAAGTTTAAGACCACAAAGTATGAGGAAAACCTATCATTCTTTTTGCCACCATTTGAGTAATAGCTATCTCTGAATTGAATATTTTCAAGAGATATTGCTAAAAAGTTTCCATGGAAACCAAAACAAAGTGAGGTTTTCCTTTCTTATATGCACGGTGACCTATATATTTTTTTTGTCCCGTTTTTTTAAAGGTGATAATATAGGTACTTCATCTTAAAAATATGAGCAATTTCTATAATTTTTTTTTAATGAAAATACGACTTTAAGCTAAAAAGGTGACTATTTTCCCTATATATCTATACAAAATAGTCCAAAATGTATGATTTTTAAGGTCCATATAATTTTTTTATATGGCCGGTGACACCCCCAATTTTTTGTTATATTTTCGATGTACATATTGTAGGATCAACTGTGCAAAGTTTGAGAGAAATCTATCATTTTTATTTTAGACATCCATACCACCTTAAATTGCAACAATAGTTTACCGATCGTTATTCGATGGATGTGGTTACGACAAGATCTGCATTCAAGGCAATAGAAAATTGGTACTTCGATGAACATTTAAATTCTTGGTTCACCTATACCCACGAACCCACAAAAATTGGTATATCACGAATAAAAATGCTATCATAGGGTCACATTTGAATAAATTGACACAACCCGGGGAAAAAAGTAATAGTTGGTTTAAGAAGAGTGTTTCTAAGTTAGTCTATAGCTTCATAAAGCCTCGGTGGTATTATGTGTAATATTTCTAGTATATTTTTTTATGTTGGTCATGGTATCATTATGTCTGTTTTTCTCCAACAACAGAATCTATATTCCCTTGGTATGTTCTGCCACATCGTTCATGTTTGAATAGACATATATCAGAGTATAGAGAATTGAAATTGCTTTTGATCTAAACTGAGCGACCTCAAGTGTGTTGACAGGATAGGAATCACAAAAGAAACATGAATCTACTGTTTTACAAAACAAAAGTAATTTTCAGTCAAAGTCAAAGACATAACCAGTTGTAATATCAGCCGAAGCAGCGTGCACGTTGATAACAATTTGTAAAAGGAAAATGTATGTCGTATTTAGTTGTTGAACTGAGACACTACAACTATCCAACAATTATTGATGTTGACCTTAGAATTTGAAGAGAAATATTTTTTTGTAGGTTTGGTTCATAATTGCCACTTCTAATAAGGAAATCGAACAAATTTCGGCATATTGTATGAACTGTGGGTGTTCCTGGTACAGTCCAGAGGTGCGATTCGGACGCTATAGGATTTTACAGTGTTGTTGTCATTTAGTTCAACCTTGTTTTTATTTTTACTTAATATTTGTACCTAATCAAGAAAGTGTATACTATTATACTGTATGTGCTATCAACTTCAAAAACCTTTTTGGTTGGCGTCATTGTCAAATTTACTATTAACTACAACAACCTTGTTGTTGGCGTCTTTGTCAATTTATTTGTATGTTTGCTAGAATTTTTAAGTCAGTTGTGTTGTATGTCTGTGGTGTATGTTTACACAGTTCAGATCTGGGTGCTAGATCCCAATTATTGCCACCTATAGAGTTACTATACAACACCTTGTTATAAACAAAAACAAAAAAATACAGCAATTCGTTTACATAAAGATATATTGTTTCTAAAAATGTATAACAAAAATACAGAACTTTAAGGTGAATTCAAAATAACTGTCTTATTCCTGACTTTTGAAGAAAATGGTGGGTTAAACCTGGTTATATAGCTAGCTAAACCTCCCACTTGTATGACAATTGTTTAAAGATCCGTTATATTGACAAAATTGGGTTAGCAACCTAAACAGAAATAATAGGTTAACTTTTGTTATACATTTTTAGAAACAATATATCTTTATGTAAACGAATTGCTGTATTTTTTTTTGTGTTTTTGTTTGGTGTTGGTGTTGTATAAACCCTTTTTTCAAATAAGTATAGGAACTTTATTTTCAAATTTTCAAGTATGAACTCTCTTTTTCAAATAAGTATAAGCACAAGAAGACTGACACAATCAGTATAACCGACTTTTCAGCAGAGTATTCACATAATAACGCCACCAATACTTTTGGTGTGCATTTGTTATTTGAAGTAGTGGGATTCTTTGAAAAGTGAAATTTTCTCGAACTGGAATTAAAAACGGACATATATGCATTCACAATTCCTTAAGACAAAAAATCGCTTTACTGCAAGACAGTTCAAATACGGCGTTTATTTTGTTCAATGTAGATATCCCTTTTGAATTCATAATAACTATACGTATTTTGTATACATAATTTATGTTTTAAAATCTGGTCAAAATTAAAATGCGGAAGCTGTATTTGTGTTGTACTAAAACAGAACGCCCTTCGTTATATGACAAGGTTTTTTATAATATTTTGTACATTGCGTCTGAAATAATAACAAAAAAACAACCATGAAACTTTTTTTCATTTTACATGACAGGCAATGTCGAATGGTGTATGTGTCATCATTTCTGAATGAAATTATATTCCAAAGAGAGTATGTGCTTCAAAATCTTTAGCAATAGGGCATCAATTGTTTTTAGAAAGCTGCATTGCTAATAATAGCTGATTACAAGGGTCTTTCAAGTGTTTCGGTCTTATACATCCATACATTTCACAAATCACTTCTGGGAACTGAGACCCATCCAAGATAAACCTCCATCCTTATTCCCTTCCATATAGAACTTGGTTGCTCAGTCAACGAATATGAGAATTCACGCAGTGTCAGTTTTAATCTGCTGTTCTTTTTTGCTTTGCTTCTTTGAGTATGTACTAATATCTCTTTAACTTGGACTAATGATATGAAGAAAAGAAGTTAGCAATATCCTTTAATGTCATAGTCCGCTATATAGATGAGGTTCTCTCACTAAATAATTCAAAATTTGGTAGCTATGTTGAACGCATAAATCTCATCGAACTTGAGATAAAGCATAAAACAGATACATTTAAGTCTGCCTCATATCTTGACTTACATCTAGAAATTGACAATGATGGTCGGTTGAAAACAAAACTTTACGACAAAAGAGATGATTTCAGCTTCCAAATTGTGAACTTTCCATTTCTATGTAGCAACATTCCAGCAGCACCTGCATACGGAGTATAAATCTCCTAGTTGATACGATTTTCCAGGGCTTGTATTTCCTATCATGATTTCTTTAATAGAGGATTGCTGTTCACAAGGAAGCTATCAAACCAAGAGTTCCAAGTAGTGAAGTTGAAATCGTCCCCTCGTAAATTTTACGGACGCCGTCACGAGTTGGTTGACGGTTATGGAATATCCGTTTCACAGTTGACAAAGCATATGTTCCAATTGTCATAATTACAACCCCGTCCCAATCTCGTTCAATACAAAACTACGTTCATGACCTTACAAAAAACTTACAAAAAACCAGAGTGAACTTATGTACTTCATAAGGCTAAGCAGTTTCTTAATAAACAATATCGTCGAATGAAGTATTTATTATAAAAAACATCAATTTAACAACATAATACAATAGTAACTTGTGATTTTAAATTTACACTGAGGCTACATTGCGTGTCTTGCATGGCATATTTAAATCTGAATTTATCCACATTTTCACTTGTTGTGTTCGTGACAATTTTCCATGAATTTGTAATTAAGACTTTAACAATTTAGTTTTATACGAACTCATTTTTTCATTCAAATAAATTATAAGAAATACTTTACAAAATATACTTATGAATTGTATGTTTTACAATATTTAAAATCTACAAAAATAACATGCACGCGAAGTAAAAATTACACAATCAACTACTGTCAACAAAAGTGTTTATCGCCGCTAACATATGCAGTATAATGTAATAACAATTAGGATCCATGATCAAAACCTTATACATATGACCATAAAAGCGGCTTAAGTTATACTTTACCTAATATCAGACTTGGCAGATATGTTTGATGTATATGTACTGGGCAATGAAGAATATCTTACATCAAATAATTGTGTCATTGAAACATGTGACATCGTCAACTACAATTGCATTATAATTTTGTTTTATAAGTCCGATACTATACAAAATATAACTTATGTTTATCTTATGTCATCTGTTTAGGAGGCATATTTTATGATTTTTAAAGACATCAAAACTGAACCCTACCTAAGAAACATGTTTAATATAATAAATTTCACTATCTTTCATTAACCACAACATCAAAAATATCATTACATGTAATAACATAGAACTGATGCGATTACAAGTTCTTTTCTATGTCTATCTTTAATAAAAAGAACACATTTAATAAAAAGAATACATACTACTTCTACTGTATACATATGTATATAAAAGTAGGGAGATGTGGTATGGTTTCCTCTGAGACAAATATACAACCGTAACGATCAATGAAAGAACAAATGACAAATTTAAACAGCTACAAGTCACAGTACGACTTTTAATAATGAGCAAACCTCATACCGTAAAGTAAACTATAAAATGGCCTGTGATATACAAAATATGACAGCTAAAACATTAAATTACAAAAAGTTATGACAGACGACAACAACTGGACTACAGGATCCTGTTTTTGGAAAATGACAAACATAATGTGGTGGGGTAAAACATGTTGAACATTCAACCTAATTTGGATAGTGGCGAAACTACTACAACACCAGAACACACAGCGAAAATCGGGTCAACATAGACACAACGTACTTGCCTTTACTGAAAGTTCAGTTAATAAATGGACCATTTTTTCTATGCTTGATTGCATGCGGAATACGTGGTACTGTATTGAGAATTATTATTATTCATGTATATATTAATTGTCGAAATCCGGATATGGTGTACAAATTTTTGCACCTCATTGTTGTGGTATACCATCTTTTCCACAAGTTTATTTTTTTCTGTTTTGTATTAAATTACTATTAAGATCATTTTGTTACATCTGTGATCGACTTTTATGATAATGCTTACGATACCACCGTAATATGGTCGGTTTTTAATTGCAATGAAATAATGTAACATGGTATAGAAGGTATCTTATAATTTCTCTAAACATTGAATGAGTCTATAACATAATAACAAAAACATGAAATTCTGTCATGAAAATTGGTCGAGGTAAACAATACAAATATATGTGCCGCTAATGAACTATGTCCATTTTAAAAATGTCATATAAAAGTAAGATAAACTACAAGACATAAATACAAATACAATATGAGGTACTGTAGAACGGGCTTTGCTAGATTGGCACTCCTTCTCTGGGCAACTTAAATGAGGTAGAAAAGTGTTCCAAAACGCCATTTTGCGTGGTTTAAAGTTTTTGAACTCTTTTACCGTTATGTTATTGTCCATGAGAAATAGTCTGTTAAAGACTTTAGTATTACTTCTGTAATGTGGTAGATGTCTTACACCATCTGCTGTTAGTTTCCTGTAATATATACAAAAAATTTAATTTAGTTCGTGTAAATAATTAAACAAAATGACGAGAATTTCTTCCGCTGGAAATTTAGTCAATGACAATTTTGGGAACACAAATATTTGTAGAGGAGAAAAAATGAACTTAGGATATATCACATATTTTAATCATTCATATACAAGATTTTATTCGAAGATTACTCAAATTCGAAGATCATCATATTATCTCTATAATCATTAGGTAATATGACAAATAAATTAATACGTTTAACTATCTGCTTGATTTCGCGAAAAGACTATAACGTTCTAATCGTTTTAAAGCTTCCAAACTTTTAATTCACAGAGTTTGTTAAATGAAGATTATTCTAGATGCTCGTGATATGCACTTGGTATTAATATAAAAATGGACGATAATAATCCCGTGTTAATACTGGAAACGTAAACTTCACAAAATTCTTACAATGGAAAATACAAAAATGTTAATAGTCAGGTCTTCAGGTTGATCAAATAAATACCTTTCTCAAGTTCTTACCACAATTCTAGACACAGTAAGAGATGGCCTCCCTAAGAGATCGTCTCCTTAATTTAAAATAACTTCCAAAAATAAGCGGTTCCAAAAGATTTACTTTCCTAATGGTCCAAGTAAGCTAAAACAGTGTAGTCTCAATTGAAAAATGAATGGTCTTTGTGATTACAATTGTAAGAATGACATATTATGATAAAGCAATTGAGAGGTATCTGTCTTAATAATCTGAAATATATAATTATAAATGACCTCGACAGAACAGTAGTCCACTCAATCTTATCAAACTTTAAGTTATCTTACCCGTATCTAACAAAGTTTCCCCACATTTTCATCATCACACGGCTCGCTACCTTATCCGTCTCGCTATAATTATAATGTTTATGTCCAACAAGAGGAGCTCCAAAAAGGTAAAAAAGATCTCTTCCATGAGGAACACCTATGTATACAAGACATTGAATTGAAGCAATCAATTAAATAAAGTATTTTTTATATTGTTAAATGATGAAATCGTTGGGTCATAGTTTTGTTTATTTACTTACTGCATTTACTTTAAATTTATATATTGTGGTTGTTTGTAATTAAAAAAACATATTAATAATGCATTGTGTTTTACTGTTTTTTCTCTTGAACCCTTCCCGACAGGGTATCTAGTAAATGGATCTATAAGCGGTACTCAACTGTTTGCATATGCGTAATTGTTTGATTTGACATTCCAACTGTTTTCATTTGAGCGCTACTGAAGAGTCTTATGTAGACGAAACGCACATCTAGCATACCAAATTATAAACCCGGTTTCTTTGATGACTCATTATATCAATAAAATATTTTAAGAGGATAATTAATATCCTTTAGATTACAGTATTTGTATATATCTAATGAATTGATTATTTTTTCAACTATACATAAAATCGAAATATACTATTTCTCTGCAATACTGTTTGAATATGTACACATTATCATAAAAAGAACAACTATAAAATCTAAGTAATAGACGATTTACCTAACCACTCTGGTCCTTGTGCCAATTCAGAAACATGATCAAAACTAAATAGAAATAGGTTGTTCGTATAGTTGGATATAATATTGGCCAGTTTAATCATTGGTGCTACAAATACAAAATCACTCTCCATCTGGAAAGAAAGACAAATGTGACAGAAAATAATTCATTTTGTTTTGCAAATTGTCGCGGTCATTATTTGTCTCATAATACAGTTTGACTAAATGTAGATAAAAATCGATTAGCCCAACGGAGTGAGATAGAACTGGAAAGAAAACATACTTTTTACAATTATTTTTCTCTCCTTCTGGTAGGAGCTCGTCTAGATTTTTCATGAAATTAAACAGACTATGTTGTTTCTTTTAATTTTACACATCCTTGGCGTTCATATGTATGAGAGTTTCTGATGAAGGTTAATAAAAAAAAAGCGCATCGGACGCACCCACCTTATTTTGTTTTTATTTCATATACTAGCACTGGGTCGATATCGCTGGTGGTGAGTTTTTAGTCTTCTCTGGTATCACAAGCTCAGTAGTAAGTGCTTTGGTACAGACATGATTTATAACATACATAAATTATATGAAATACCACGTTGATAAATTAAGGATTTAAGGATGTACTTTGGTTAGGTTAATGAATTTTTATCAGATGTTCGAACTTCTTGGGTTTTTTCCTACATGTATGATACAGGGTGAAATATTTTATCCCATATCACCCGCTTTTCTTTTCATAGAAGACTTCAATAGCTCACAAAAAGGTCATTACCAAAATTAAGCAGGTTCTAGATTTTGCGATTCGAGACTAAAATAATGCAAATGCTAAATATAAGGTAAGAATCCGAGTCAGTCTTTTCCCGACATTTAAAAAAATCAAATATCGCGAAAAGAAGTTCCATAACCTATGAATATGTTTAGCTTATTTTGTTCCTTAACTAATGCTCTTCTGACTTATAGTATCAATTTTAAATACTAGATTTTTTTAATTTCACCTAAGTACATCCTTAATAAAAAAAAATATAAGGTTTCAATTCCCTCAGACAACGTTTTCCTTATATTTGGCTATTCTGTTTATGCCCTTATTTGGTTAAATAGCTCTTAAAGGCTTTGTTATTTAGTATGCTTATTATATCCTTAATTTTCTTTTTGATCAACAACCGCGTGATTTCAATCTTTTGAAAAGTAAGTATATCCTGCTCTGCTGCCATCGTTATGCTAATTTTATGACCAGTCATTTGAAAATGTTCAGAGATGAGATAAATCCGTATGATAACTGGATGAAAATATGTATTCATTAAAGTTGTATGAACTAGGTTATCACACACCTCAATATACCGTTTCACTGTTTTGTATTCTTCTTTAACATCATGCTCCCACTGTCCATACTCATGTAGTATTATATCTATAAAAAAAAACCAACATAATCGTCAGTTAAAACGGATTACATAAACCAATCTACCTAAGATATCAAACTACTTTAACTATTACTTTTAAAAATGAGTGTTTACATTATTTTTGCTTATTTTCACTTTTGTTTAAAGCAATTTATATGCTTGTTAATAACATGTTTGTTTGATATTTTTCAGTATAATGTTTTTTTTTAACGTTTTATGTTTACGTTAATGTGGTCTACAACAATCATTTTGAACTACGTTGTACACAACCTTCATAATATCAAACTTACCATCTTAAGATTATATTGGCACTGTTCTTACGTATATAAGTATCATTATAGAAAAAAGTATTTGGTGGAGCTATTGTCGAAGTATTTGTTCTCCTTTGCCTTCAATATTTTGAAATTCAAAGGTATTTTATGGGGGATAAATATGAAAAAAAGTACAGAATAGTTTTGTCAAACTGTTTAAAGAATATTTGAACAGTCAATGTCTACTGGCATTTGATTAAAGAACTATAGAAATATATACTTGAAGGTTTGATATGCCATTTGGTTATGGAAATGCCTTACATGTAATAAGTCATAACGCAATGTGGCATTCATGCATATCCAGGGCCGTAAATTGCCTGTCTTGTAAGGGGAGGCAGCTGAGTTTCGCCGCAAAAAATTTTTTTTTACCCTTTTTAAGCAGAAAATGATATTTTTTCGGGCATTTTTTCGGGCCTTTTCTCTGTGTGCAATGTACCTCCTCAGAATTCACCACTTGTTAAATTTTTGTTATATTTCAATAAATAAGCTCCTGGAATATATTAAAAATAGTTATAAACCAGAGTTAGATTACGTGTGCCGGTAAAGTAAGATTTTTTACGCTTCATCCTGCTTTATTTCTCTTCACAAGCTATTTTTACTTATGTTTAGGGAAACAATTTGCGAACTTAAAATGAAAGGCCCCCTAAAGTTGAGCTTTTTTTTGTGGTTTATCATGCTTTTTTGGCTGTCCCAATCGAGCTATTTTGACTTCGTTTCAGAGACACAATTTTCGAACATTAAAATGAAAATGCATACTTAATAACTCATTACTTTTAATTATCAAATTCAAATTATTATAACGTAACACTTTTTGTTTACACTGACAATTTTATTCGGTTAGGCTTTGTCAATTGCTAAGGGGATTTTTCTGTGCCCGGACGAATCCCATCTCTTTAGCACTTCTATGCATTCAATATTGCCAACATTGTCACTTCTATGTGTAGCATAGCCAGACCACGTAATCTGCTTTCCGTCATTGTTGACCTGTTCCATATTTTAAGGCGCCGTAGCGCAGAAAACGATCTCTCACAACTGCAGGACCCAACTGACAAGGCTAACAGAAGCAAAAGTATTTGTTTTATATTTAGGTAGAAGTGCGTGTGTTTGATTGCTTGCTCTATTGTACATTTTGACCCAATCTCATTAATAGACGTAAAAGTAACAACCAGTGCTATTAAATTAATGCTTGATTTTAACAATTTTTTCTTTTCAGTATTTTTTTTTGTCAGTCCGCAATAGGCGGCAACTGCCTACATGCCTCTATGTAATTTACGGCCCTGATATCATTAATGAGTTTGGCATGTCGGTCATTTTGATATTCCTTTGATGTTTGGGGATGGGTTAAACAAAATCTTTTTTAATTTTGTTAAGTTTGCAAACTTTGAACCAAAAGAATAATTTCCTACATGGTTCTTGTGATTAATTGAAATTAAAGTCGAAAGCAATTGTGTTTCATCCATAAAAAGCCCCTATCAAAATGTTGCATTGTATTGCAAACACCACATTATTACTGTTGTTGGTGGTTTGTCGCTCCAGGAGAGTAGCAGTGCATTTATCTGATACTTGCATGACATGCTCTCAAACAATTTATATTTTTGGATTTACACATTGATCTCGACTGTATCTAATGGTTTCCCAGATACACGTATTGTGCGAATAATCATTACATACCACTGGGTCGGTACCGCTAATGGAGGCTATCATTCCCCAAAGGTACAATATATATCTATTACCGATTGGTTTGGTATTTGCAATTTTTTATTAGAACATTGTGTCTGTAAATTTTCAGTTCATAGAATGATGTGATTTTACTTAATAGAAGGTTTTTATTCTGTCGAATAATTTATATTCAGCTTTTCAAACTTTTGGTCGATATTGTCATGATTTGAATGATCCTTTTGTTGGAGACCTTATCAAAAAGAACCAAGTTAGCTATTCTCATCACTTGGCGTTTTACGTTTATTTTTACAAAAATCTTCTCCTCTGAAATTACAGGGCCAAAATAAACTAAACTGTGGTGCAACCATTATAGGGTTATCAAATTTATAAACTGTGTCCGATTATCTCGCCTGACAACCAACATAGCTGACACGGCTAAAAATACGGGGGTATTGTTTGGATAGGGGTATCACATAACCAACTACGACGAGGTGTATAGACAGGGTAAACATCTCCTGCTTTGCATGCATCTCTCATAAGAAGGTCTTAACCCTTAGCAATCAGCAATGCCAAGAACATATGTCAATCCCGGTAAAAGTCAGAAATTTGAAAGACATTTATATCAGATGTAATTACACATTCAAAAAATAATTGTTTAGTGAAGAGAAATCAAATCATAAAGTGATATTAGATCATATTAGGTTTTTAATACCCTTCTTGTCTTTAAGAAAGTAATCTACAAGCTTTCGTCATATTCGTAAAAGAAAAAAAAATGTCTAGCCGGGGTGCATAATTAGCTCCGTTTAATTTGATTGTTTTTGTTATATCAATCCACAATCTTCAGTTAAAAGATTTTATATGACGGCAGAGTATCAATTCGACAATAAATGACATCCAAGATAGATATCAGAATAAATTAATTTAACGTCCAGGGCATATTCTTTAGTAATACCAACAATGATTTTATGAAGCTTTCTACCTTTGACGCCGCATACATCTTTAAACAAAGGAAGAAAAAGTTCTTTCATAAGAGTCCGAAAAGTAATGTCCTCTTCAATTTGCTGTAGATCATCGTATATTTCCTTGGCCAGGGAAATATCTGTCAAGTTATTCTCGAGGAAAATCTCCTGTACTGTTGTTAGATGATCCCAAACTGTAATAAGAAGGATAAATACCTGAAATTCCACAGATTGTCGGAAACTGGTGTGGGCTCAAATCTCTTAAAACATCATGAAATAAACTTTCTTCAAATATGTTTACTTTGTAATGATCCAGTAGTGCCTCAGCTGTAAGACAAAAATTACAGCTACTGTACAAAAAGATCAATATACAAAATGGGATATAAATACACTGTTGAATACGTTTGTATGTTATTTTTTTCAATCTTTTTAATTTAAAATAAAGATTGTTGTTTTTTGTAATTATAAATCAAAAAAGGACAATAAAACCACAAACATAAATATTAAATATTAAGCAAAGGATTTAACCTGCACGAAATTATCCAAAATGGGATGTAAAATCGAGACATCTGTATTGGTAGGTAGCACTAATGAGTACACGGTTCAATATTTAAAGCATTGTGTTAAAATCGAGGAAAATAGATTTGATAGTTGCTACGACATCTATGTTGTTATCTGTAACACTGATATTACGTATCAGTCAACTAAATCATAATGGCCCCTTACAACTTTGAAGGAGAGATGATTTCAACATTTCAATTAAGAAATCGTAGGTAAGTGGCTGGCGAGTAAAGGCAAATGTCTGAGTAATTTTATTTTCTTTCAAGGGAAAACTACGATATAAAACAATATTGACCTGTAACCCTTGACATTACGTTCAATGGGGGTAAATACGACCGAAAAAGTTAATAAACTTCTTCAGTTAAATGAAAACACGCGAATACATATATCATAAACTGGTCAACACATTTGAATAATTGAATTGCAAGTATAGTTACGTTTGATTTAACACATTGATTATAGTAGCAAACTAATTCCAAATTCACTTATTTATAGTTTTAAATGTTTCTCTAGGGTATTTTTCTGTATAAATCTACGTTCAACCTTATTTGTGGCATTGTACAAAGGAACATACTATGTCCTTCTGCACTGATCATAGCGTTTCAGGGTGAAATATGCTCCCAGTAAAATCGACGGTTATTTGAGTAATTTCTATGAGAGTCGGTTAAGAATGTTAACTTTCTTTTATGCAATGTCACATGATCTGGTATTATCATCTGTTGTTTTGTCTGTAAATGTGCTTTGTCATCTTTATGACAGTATTTAATCATTTATTTCTTCTTAAGTTGGAAAGAGTAGTTTTAAGGGTTCAAATCCCTAGTGTAACCTTGTCTTTGTGCCTATCCAAATTCAGAAATTTCATCAATGGTTCTGTTCTTAAAGGTCATCGGATGTTGATAGTTGATGACGACGGATATGTTCCAATTGTCGTTATTTCAATTCCGTCATCTTTTCCTCGGAGGTGACCTACCGAATTAGACTTATTATCAATATTGTATTTACATGAGCAATACGACGAGTACCACATGTGTAGCATGATATGTGTTCATAATTACCCTTCCGGAGCACGTGATATCACCTCCGGTTTTGGTGGGGTTCATGTAGCTCAGTTTTCTATGTTGTGTTTTGTCTACTGTTGTTTGTCTTTTCGACACTTTTCGATTTGTCGGTTTGTTTTCGACTTATGAATTTAAATGTCCCTTTGGTATCTGCTGTCTCTCTTTTCTGTCAAATCTTTCCACACTTTATAAAATCTCCGAATTATTGAGAGCTTGACATAAGGCAAGCAAGACAAAGAACTGTGAGAATAGCAGGAGCAGAAAAAACTAATCATGATCAAATACATTGAAGAGTAAAACAATAAAATTTTGGAGATTCATGGTTGTGAACGTCATCAAAATCAAAACAAAACAGGAAATGAAAATCAATTAGAAAATTTAAGAGCGTTGAAAACTAAACAAGACACAACAAACGCAAACCTAAAAGAAAAACATAAAGGGGTCAACATACTGTTTGCAAAGACTGACATATGCCCATACCATAGTTAAGGTCTGAAAAAAAACTCGTAAAAGGTCTGAAATATTCGTTAGTCAATATTGTCGATTATCGTTAACAAGAGGCTATAAGAAGATCTGGTGTGCAAACTTTTTTTAAAATCAAATAAAATTAAGAATGGAAATGGGGAATGCGCCAAAGCCGACCAAAGAGCAGAAAACAGCCCAAGGCCAGCATGGGTCTTCAACACAGAGAGAAAACCCAGCACCTGGAGGCGGGCTTCAGTTGGCCCCTTAACAAAAATGTATACTTGTTGCCATATAAGCGGGAGGTTTGGCTAGCCATAAAACCAGGTTCAACCCACCATTTTGTCTTAAAATGTCCTGTACCAAGTCAGGAATATGGCAGTTGTTATCATATAGTCCGTTTCTATGTATGTTGGCGTTTGTTTTTGTAACAATTCAGTGTTTCGGTTGTGCCGTTTTGTTTCCTCTTATAGTTTATGTGTTTCCCTCAGTTTTGGTTTGTGACCCGGATTTATTTCAGTTAAATCGATTTATGACTATTGAACATCGGTATACTACTATTGCCTTCATTTATCAGCGACAGTGGACGCCGAAACATATAAATGAACCAAAATAAAAAAAAATAAAAATACAAGACTAACAAAGGCCAGAGATTCCTGACATGGGACAGGCGCAAAAATGCGGCGGGGTTAAACATGTTTTGTGAGATCTCAACCCCCCTCCGTCCTCTACCTCTAGCTAATGTGGAATAAACAAATACAAAGCAATACAGTGAAGCTCAGTTTAAAAGATGTCCGATTCCGATTTAGAATAGGTAATAAAAGAAATGAAGCAAAATGACAATAATCAACATAAATTATCAAAAGATTCCTAGCAGTTACTGACATGCCAGCAGCTCCAGACCTCAATTAAATTGAAAGATTATGTCTTCATCATATCAAAAATCACACACAATCCCTCCCGTTAGGGGTTTAGTATCATACCATCATAAAATATAAGATATAAGAACATAACCCGTATCATGCCAACAACTGGTTTGAGAATAAATGTGATTCTTTCCGATGCAAAGACCCTATGAGTGAACCAAAATTAATTCCAAAAAATGCCATCTTTAATGAGAGAGAGGCGAAAATACCAAAGGGACAGTCAAAATCATAAGTCGAAAATAAACTGACAGCGCCATGGCTAAAAAAGAAAAAAAAACCAACAGACAAAAAATAATACATAAACACAACATAGAAAACGAAAGACTGAGCAACACGAACCCCACCAAAAACTGAGGATGATCTCAGGTGCTCCGGAAGAGTAAGCAGATCATTCTCCACATGTGGCACCCGTCATTTTGCTTATGTTAGTACAAACCCGGTAAAAAGTCTAATTCGGTAGGTCACATTCGGGGAAAAGGGGACGGGATTGTAGTTACGACATTTGGAACATATCATCTGTGAAACGGAAATTCCATAACGGTCAACCAAATCGTGATGTTGTCCGTAAAATTTACGAAGGGATGTTTTCAACTTCACCACTTGGAATCACCAGACAACAGTATCGTAACTATATCCCTTCTGAATAAGTCTGTTTTAAGGTTGGGTTAGCTTTTGAGGTGAATGGCGACATTGCTGCACTCTGTATAGAATATAACCATAAAAGATGGGATGTGAAATACCTAAACGTATAAGGTGTCTGCACGTTGATTTATATATTTATATACCAATGATAAAATTTAGTAAATGTTTTGACAAGTTTGTAATATCGAAAACCCTGGTGTAATTTGTCAGTAATACAGAGATTTCTTTCGTTAAAATCAAATACGTTGTTACATACACGAGCGAATCGAACAAGTTGAAATATATAAATACCTTAAGATGGTGACAAGGGAACGTCAGCATCTAAAAATGGATAATTAACAATAGGAAATGAAAAATCATCTCTTTTATCGTACATTTTAGTATTAAGCTTTCCGTAAAAGATATAGATATCAAAAGCATTTATTACCATGTTCTGATCCCTCATCTCTCGTAAACGACAAAAGATATGATTCTCCATTCAATTGTCCTTTCGTGAAACTTTGCAACGGCCGTTCTACTAGAAAATGTTTGTCCACAACAGCTGGAAACGAAATAAAACTGGCTGGATTGTGCTGAAAAAGAAAAAAAAAACCTTGATTCTTTCTTAATAAAGGTTTTTGTTCGAATGATGTAAATTGGATATAGCAGTTGATAAAGAAAACATTGGGTTTGTTGTAAATTTTATATATGACTGACCAACATATTTGTAAGATCCATGATCATGTATTAGTTTGAGTAGTAATTTGGCAACTACAATCAAGCTAAATGCAAGGAAATGAGGTGACATAGTTGTCGTTAGATTTATTCATTAATGGCATTAGAAGGTTACAGTTCGTTAAGTTACACTTGTTTAAAGGAAGTTTATGTCATTACATTGTCTGTAGCAGCTATAAAGTATACGTGAACCTACTACTACATCGAATATGAAGAAAACAGTAGTTACCAAAGAACTGAAAAGGTTATTCACACTTTCAGCTGTAATGGAGTTTAGTACAAACCAAGGACATGCGATTGTCATCTTTTTATCCCTACGTCAATTGATGCTTAAGCAATTTATTTTTTAATCAGTGTTTAAACTAAAGTAGATTAACTTAACTAAAACGACAATTTTGATCTGAGCAAGTCTTAAAAACTAAACAAAAATTTATAAAGTTATTTTCAGTTTTTCAGTCAATTTTTAGACTTATCCACGCAGGTAAATTTAGTACTGTTCAGACAATCTTACAGTCAATTAAGATCTCTTCAGACTATGGCCAGACTCTTTTGTAGTTCCTATTCATCTGTTCAAAACAAAAATATACTGAATCGACTGAACGACTACTGAACAGTTCTTGATTGACTAAAAGCCAAATGTTTGTAATGAATTAAGAAAATATTGCGAAAAAAAAACTCTCAACGGTTTTAGGTTCAGACTTTTCAGCTGATAGATTAAAATGTATGTACTAATGATCTGCACAGTAGTATATTACCTTTTAAGTTGAACATGCCAGGATTTCTCGCTGTCAAAAACAAAACAACTAGCGCTAATTTCGTGTAAGACAACCATATACCCTTTTTAATCGTACATATTTTAAAGAATTTAAAGTCTTCAAGTAGCCTTGCAAATTGAAGACGATACGTTTATCTCAGTTGCACACCGGATGCATTTTTGTAGAAGAAAGACAGTTTAGATAACACCACACACTAAAACTGGATTATTAATTTTAAATTTTTTAACTAATAATTGTGTCTGAACATTTAAATTCTTTAATTACTAACTTTTGCTTTCATTTCTTTCATGGTTCTTTTATCCAAACGCTTTAAAAATTCTTTGTGTTTACTATTGCCTCGGCTTATCAAATCGAATGTATTTATATTGTAGCCTTCCTTCCAGTCATCTCCTGCCGTAGCCCAAAATGCCAACGGAGAACCACTTTGTATAACCGCATACTTAAAAAGACCTTTAAGTAGAAAAAAAATTATCCATGGAATGTGGGATACTTTTTGTTAACAGTTAAAATTAAATACTTTTATTTTTCTATCTATCTGATTCATTCGTTTAAATGCAATTTCAGTTTTATATCAATAATTCAGAATTTTATTTCGTCTACTTGATATCTTTTCATTTTTTACGACAAACACAATACAAATGATAATCAGTTAAACCAAATGTAAAAAAATAAATCACTAGTACATCAATATCTCTGCAAAATATTTTTCTACTTTTCCCAAAATTTCTGTCATCTTAACGTTGTCCTACTGTATTTGAAGACATAACTTTTTGTATCCCTTTGACAGAAGATCCCAATAGAATCAACATAAATAATGCATTTTCTTAAATGCAACTGCTTCGACCAATATGTCGACATTTCTATTAATTTCTTTGTCCACATGAAGAATGAAGCTTTTTGCGTTACACGAGTTTTTTAATAATAAGACGAAATTAAAGGAAAAAAAAAAGATTTGAAATAATAATTGACCAATTGTGGTGGCTCCCGTGTCAAAGGGACATGAGGGATCATATCTACCATTTCCTGTAAAAGATTACTATTATCATAGTTTTACCTTTCGCTAATGGAGAGACCATATGAAAGCCTACATCTGCTGCACCTGCGCTATGACCATCAATCGTCACTTTCGTGGCATCACCATCAAAATTGTGGATATTTTTTCGTATCCATTTCATCACCATTATCTGGTCAAGAAATCCGTAATTTCCTTCCAAATTCTCATTTTTTGCTCCAAAGAATCCTTTTATAAAGTACTTATCAGTTCAAATAAGTTTATGATGCTATTCAAAATACGTTGAGGAAAGTTTCTAAGCTCTGTTATGTTAAATTGATATAATAAAAATTATTTATGTTCTTTTTATCTTAAGTTTAGTATTTCATTTAGGCTGTTGTTTTCTTCACATTAACATCATCAATTGAAATTTATCGTTGAATAACTGCTTTGATATCCCATTATTCTCACATGAAGAAATTATACTTCAATTTTTACGTATAAGTTGCTTTATGCAATTGAACTAATTAGACGTATTACTATAATTAATGGTATTTTAACAAGTCAAATGAAATCATATAAAAGAAAAATGTATTACCTAAAGCGCCAAGTCTATAGTTGAAAGTAATCACTATCATTTTGCTATATCCTGCTAAAATGTCTCCGTCAAACATGGCACCCATACCCACTTCGTTTGACCCACCATGTATAAATAACAATACTGGGTATTTTGATTCTCTAGACTTCTGTAATGTTACCAAATGCTCATTAGTTGAAAGGTCTATTAGTAAGTATATAAAAAGAGTGTGTATGTACGTCAATCCAACAACACAATTATATCAAGTTTTCAACAAAAATGTCGATTTACCATATAAAAAGTGCTAAAAAGTGTGAATAAGTTTAATCAAACACATGTTTCAAGGAAAATCTCAAGAATCGAAATAATTTTTACCATTAAGAACAAAAAAAAAAAAGAAATAGACAAAATCCGAATGTCATAGGTTATGCATAAAACATCAATATTGTAAAAGAGAAATTTTTTAAGAGATTGATTCGAAAACGCCGTACGACCTTATAAAAACATTTTCTTTGAATTCACATAATTTTTTTTTATCTTGAATTCCCATAATGTTTGTATTCTAAATCTAAAGTAATGCACATGCAAAAATCAGAAGAACAGCCGAAAATTGACAGGAACACTTGAATGTCCGTTTGGTATCTTTCGCCCCTCTTTTATCGATTAGAAAATAAATTATTGTTTTAAACGGCCATTATGATATTAACATCATCTGAAAAGACTGGTTAAGTGTAAAAGTAATTATTCAGATATGTCCTGTTTTAATTTCTAACTGCTTAGACATTTGGCTTTCAATTAATCCAGAATCGTTCATCAGCTTTTTAGACTATCCAGTATGTCATTTTGAACAGATTAATGACAACTACTGAACAGTCTGAACATAGACTAAATAGATCTTAATTCACTGCAAGCCAATTGCATGAACAGTACTGAATTTACCGCAGTGTAGAAGTATGAATAATAGCTGAAAGACTGAAAATTACATTTTAATTCATTGTTCAGTATGCTAAGACCTGCTCAGATCAAAATGGCCATATAAGTTCAAAATTAGTTTACTAGTGCATGCACAGACAGGAATACTTATCAAGGACATCGCAAGAATTTTTTTAAACGAAATGGCCAATTTAAAATAAAATAAATAGACATGTTTGAAATTTCAGACAAATTAAGGTGATCTGTATCTGTCCATAGTAATATCATGATGTATAATATAAGTCTAATTGCAACTTTATTAATTGATCAATTCACATATAAACAATGATGATAGTGTTTTAACTCAATAGCATACCTTTGGTTCGTATGGTTTGTATAAATTAAGATATAAACAGTTTTCATCCTCTCTGTTAAACCCTGGAACATAACGGTGAATATATGAAAAAGTATCATTGGTAATATTTCCCGTTCTCTGCAGACAAGCCGGTGGAAGTTTCAATGTATCTTGTATATGTTTCCATGGTTTAGGTTCTACCGGTCGCTGAAAAAAAATGAAGTTGTTAGTAACTAATTTAAGTACATAACCGACCTTTTGAGTGATTAACATGAACGCATTCAAAAGGACTTGTATATTGTAATCCAATAAAACTAAGAACAAAAGGCGTAAACGGCAGCTATAAATCTGTAATGTTGAAAGAAGGAACAAGTTGTATAGTTGATGACTAAAAATTCCTACATGCACTTCACAAAACATATGCAAAGGAACAGCGCTTTTATATTCAAACTCATTAGTCGAAAACACACTTACAATGCCATGGAACAAAACGAAAAACGACGAAAAGAAAAATAACAGTACATAGAACACAAAATAGAAAACTAAAGACTGAGCAAAACAAACCTAACCAATAAGTTATCACGCATCGTTGTCAATATAATGGAATTTGATGCGACTGTCATACAAGTGAGAAGTTTAGATAGCTATGAAACCAGGTTCAATCTACCATTTTCTACATAAGAAAATGCCTTTACCAAGTCAGGAATATGACAGTTGTTATCCATTCGTTTGATGTGTTTGAGCTTTTGATTTTGCCATTTGATTAGGACTTATATCTAGAAATTGACTTGACTATGAGGGTCGGTTGAAAACAACACTTTACGACAAAAGAGATGATTTCAGCTTCCCAGTTGTGACCTTTTCATATTAAAACCAAGAGTTTCAAATAGTGCAGTTGAAATCATCACTTCGTAAATTTTACGGACACCATCACGAGTTGGTTGACCGTTATGGAATATCCGTTTCACAGATGATATCGGATATGTTCCTTATATCGTAACTACAATCCCGTTCCCTTTTTCACGAATGTGACCTACCGAATTAGACTATTTACCGGCTTTGTAATAACATGAGCAACACGACGGGTGTCACATGTGGAGCAGGATCGGCTTATCCTTCCGGAGCACCTGAGATCACCCCCAGTTTTTAGTGGGGTTCGTGTTGCTGTTGTACCCCTATTTGTGACATTCTTACCTATTGTGTCTGTTTGTTTTGTTCACACATCGTTGTCAATATAATGGAATTTGATGCGACTGTCATACAAGTGAGAGATTTAGCTAGCTATGAAACCAGGTTCAATCCACCATTTTCTACATAAGAAAATGCCTTTACCAAGTCAGGAATATGACAGTTGTTATCCATTCGTTTGATGTGTTTAAGCTTTTGATTTTGCCATTTGATTAGGACTTATATCTAGAAATTGACTTGACTATGAGGGTCGGTTGAAAACAACACTTTACGACAAAAGAGATGATTTCAGCTTCCCAATTGTGACCTTTTCATATTAAAACCAAGAGTTTCAAATGGAGCAGTTGAAATCATCACTCCGTCAATTTTACGGACACTATCACGAGTTGGTTGACCGTTATGGAATATCCGTTTCACAGATGATATCGGATATGTTCCTTATGTCGTAACTACAATCCCGTTCCATTTTCACGAATGTGACCTACCGAATTAGACTATTTACCGGCTTTGTAATAATATGAGCAACACGACGGGTGTCACATGTGGAGCAGGATCGGCTTACCCTTCCGGAGCACCTGAGATCACCCCCAGTTTTTAGTGGGGTTCGTGTTGCTGTTGTACCCCTATTTGTGACATTTTTACCTATTGTGTCTGTTTGTTTTGTTCACAAATCGTTGTCAATATAATGGAATTTGATGCGGCTGTCATACAAGTGAGAGGTTTAGCAATCTTTAAAACCAGGTTTAATCCACCATTTTCTCCATAAGAAAATGCCTGTACCAAGTCAGGAATATGACAGTTGTTATCCATTCGTTTGATGTGTATAATGAAAATTGATGCGACTGTGGTAGAAGTGAGAGGTTTAGCGCTATAAAACCAGGTTCAATCCACCATTTTCTACATAAGAAAATGCCTGTACCAAGTCAGGAATATGACAGTTGTTGTCCATTCGTTTGATGTGTTTGTGCTTTTGATTTTGCCATTTGATTAGGGACTTTCCGTTTTGAATTTTCCTCGGAGTTCAGTATTTTTGTGATTTTAATTTTTATATGTCTGTGTATTTGATATGGTGTATGTTTAAATAATTAAATAATTTGTTTAACATTGTATATCATCCTATAAGCTGTACTTGCTTTTGGAATAAAGTATATTAGTATATCTCTTTATCTCAAGAACATTTGATTGACACATATGGATCAGAATGTTTGTTTGTCGATCAATCTGAATACTGTTTGTAGTAGAGCATTGCTGTTATCTGTACAACAATCTGACAATTCGTGATAAATACGTTTAGAACAATTTCACCTGAAAGCGTTTTGATTGGTTTGTGATTGTGTTATTTAGTATTATTATCTAATTTTCTAATTTAATGATGTTTTATTATCCTGTAGTGATAAATCGGAAGCTTAACGAAGCATGGTTTACACAAGGTCGTAGTTTTTCCTTAAGGTAATGGAATTAAATGATCAATTTCATGTAATCTTCTACATGATAATTGTTCAATTTTCAAAATTACTCAAGTAAAAACATGTCAAGTGAAAATAAATCAATAGAAAGAAATATTCAAGATTCTTTTCAAAGTTTGCCAAAAAAATATAATGCACTCGTGTTGCACGTAGATAGCACAGCAAAACATCTTTTTCTCCGACATTTTTTCATAACTGTACTCAGAAAACCCAGACAAAATACCCATTTCTTCGAACACAGATAAACAATGAAGCAAAACAACGGAAACAATCTTCTTCCATAGATAGTTAATTTCAATCATCTTTTCATTAGACTTGAAAATACATTTCAATTAGCGGTTGGACTTAATTGGTCTGTTATCAACTACTTTATTAACTAATCGTCCCGCCACCAGTAGGGGATGGAGACAAAAGGATTAAACTGATTCTTTGTTTCCCCGTCACAGACGTTCAAACTGTTTATTAACAGAGAGTCATAGTTTATGAAAAATATTAAAACTATTATGTCAATGCTTTGTGATTACAAGATTAAATCTTCAAATAAATCAAAACGTGTAATTTAAAAGGACATATTGAGAATCAATCATTGATACCTTGCTACGATATTTAATGTGCAAAATGAAGAAAGGAAACATGGCGAAAATAATGTCAAACAACTGCTCTAGTTTTAATGCTCTTTCCGATTTCAAACATAACGGAGCTATTATGGGTTATTATGTGTGTTTCCTGTCATTAAGATTTTTTTATTATTAACGTTGTCATTATTTTATACTAGGTCAAGTCCGATACAGTCGTTATTGTGGCTTACCGATGTCAACTTTTAACTTATTGAGATTTGAAATGACATGATAGCATATTTTTACAGTATTGTGACAGGATAGAATACTAATGTACTATATTGAAAAGTAACGCAAAGAGCTAAATCAATGAAACAGGGCATGTTTACATTACTATTCTTTATCTTTGAAGTTGCAAAGTATTCAACAAAAAATTTAAAAAAATAACGACTTATACGAAACTTTTCGAAATGACGTCAGATTATTTTGGTTGCCAAATTATAGATAACAGTAGTTTACTGATGTTAAAATCTCTGAAATTCATTAAAAACTACAGATCAAAGTCAAAAACTAAAACTGAAATAATCACATGAACTCCAAAAAAAAAGCGGGACCTGGAGCGTCGCCTGGGTAAGCGTGTCATGCTATGTAGGCACCAACTGCCATGCAAATCTACTCAGTTAAAATGTAACAATCGTTTATAGGACATAATCGCTAAATTTACAAGTCAGACGACTTTTCTGTTACCGACAGATCTAAATCGGCGAAAACATATCGCGAGTGAGTTGTAACACGTACACATCATATCAGTCAACCAAATCGTGTTGTGACCGTAAAAAGGTGTTGATTTCTTTCGGGTTTGTTTTTCTCCAGAAACCTCAGTTGAAACAGTTTTTTGTCAGGGACATACCCTATAAATGAAGTCCGTATTATGTGAACATGCATGACCACTCATGCATGTTCACATAATACGGACTTCATTAATGTATTCACAATGTATTAATTTTTAAAACATATACGGCAGATGATGGGACATAGAGTATGTTACTGCAAAGAAGTTGGAAGTTACTAATAATAATTGGAAAGTTGACATTATAACGTTTTTCATATATTCTAATTTGATTCGCCTATTTGTTTCAATATCGAAATAAAGTTCCAGATATGAAGCAGAACTTCCTGTTTATATTGCATTCTTAATCTTAAGTTTACTGGGATATATGAGATACGAGCACTCACTGAAACAAAAGAAGATTGCATGGTGCATTTTTTGTCCTTGATAAGGCTCTGTATGAATTATGCGTCCTATGATTTCCAAAACATGTCGGCCAGTAGAGGTTTACAACATATACCCCTTTTCTACTTTCTAATCTTGGCCCGCCCGTAGCGCTTCCATATGGAGATATAAGAACCAAAAATTTGAAAGCTAGTGATGGATGAATACTTAAAGAACTATGTGTCATCAGTGCTCTTACATGTGTACTTTATCATTATATGAGTCACAGTTCCTTCAGACACTTGTCAAAAACAAGAAAATCAAAGAAACCAGATCATTTAATTTCACATTCAGATATATTGATGATGTCCTTTCCATTAACAATCCAGACCTTTCTGATTGGGTTCCATTAATATTTTCTTCAAGACTTGGAAATTAAAGAAAAAACAGACACGGCTTCCTCCGCCTCATGTTTAGACTTATACCTCGAATTTGAAACAAGCGCTCATCGCAGTACCAGAATCTATGACAAACGAGACGATTTTAATTTTGAAATTATCAATTTCCCCCACCTTAGCAGCAATATACTAACTTCACCTGCATATGGGATATACATTTCCCAACTCGTTCGGTATTCAAGAGCTTGCAGCTGCTACTCAGACTTTATAAAACGTCACCAGTGACTGAGCAGAAAGTTGATGAATCAGGGCTATGTCAAAGAACGTCTCGTCTTTTCTAAAAAAAAAGTTCATCGGAAGATACCAAGACCTTGTTGATAAATGT